CTCTTTTGACTGCAAGATCAGCAGGTTGGTTGTTCAAGGCCTGGGTGCTGCATGATGGGGTGAACTTCTGTCACTAGTCCCAGTTTCTGCTAACCTAACAGTTCGAAAGCAAATAGTTACCACTTCTCAGTGGGAAGGTAAACAGCATTCTGTGCAATCATACTGGCCACATGATCACAGAGTAGTCTCTGAAAATGCTGGCTTTTCAGCTTAGTAACAGAGATGAGCACCACACCCTACAGTTGAACATGACTTGACAACCTTGTCAACAGGAAATACCTTTACCTTAAACAGTATCTCCCACTATCAGCAAGGCAGTAAATGTACTCTGAGCCTTGCTCTGAACTTTAAAAGACCTACTCAAGTTGCTAATCCTGTGTGGGCAATAGTGTTCAGCACCTTGGATGGTTCCTTCAGGGTTTAGGCTAAAACCCGCAGTAGATTCCTCACCACCAACAACATGGAAGCTGACACCTGCTACTACACCAATGGGAATTAAGCTCATCCAAGTGTTTCCTAGTATGCCAGCCTACATCATTAGTCATTAACATCAATATTGCAAAAACCCAGGAACAGAACACAACCTGGGACAATTACATACAAGTATCCACTGCTGCCATTGTGCCCAAGGAAACAGCATCTGACTCAAAGCAGGAAGAGGCCAATCATCCTCCCTTTTTCCTACAGCCCATATGTGCTCTGCTCTGGAAGGCTGAGAAAGTCTCCAGAATAGGGTTTTGGTGAACTAGAGAGTCCTTGCAAAGGGAGGAGGAGGACTAAAAAAAATAAATTCCTGAGGCTACTGTAATCATCATGTTGGATTTAGGCATCCAATACATTGATGCAGCAAGTTATGTAAAATGAAATTGTGGCAGCCAGGGCCTGGTAAGTTACTTGCAAAAAGTAATTTGTCACTGTTATAACTCCAAGCTCTAACAAGGAACACTTTCCTGTTTGTTGAATGTAAGTAACGGTGCATCTACATTGTAGAAATAATGCAGTTGACACCACTTTAATTGTCATGGCTCCATCCTACAGAATCCTGGGATCTGTAGTTTGATGAAACACCAGCATTCTTTGGCAGAGAAGGCTAAAGACCTAGTAAAACTAGTGACTACAGGATTCCCTAAAATGAAACTACACCATTTAAACTGGTGTTAAACTGCATATTTCTACTGTGTAGATGCATCCTAAGATGATCAAAGACATAATTGTCTGTCTGTTTCAGCATAAAAAGATGTCAAGGAAAAAGAAATCCATAGCAAATTCTTCTGTGGACTGCAGTCCATTTCATCAGACATCTCTATGCAACAAACTGCTGATCCATGGCAAAAAAGGAACTCTCATACACTTTTGTATACCTTACTTGCTTTGATTGGGAGTTCTTTGCTTTGATTGGGAGTTCCTGCATGGCAGGGGGTTGGACTGGATGGCCCTTGTGGTCTCTTTCAACTCTATGATTCTATGATTCTATGATTCCATGACTCCATCTCATTGCCACTTGAACACCCACAACTGAGCAGAAAGCAGTAGCAGGCAGCATTTGAAGAACAGATGCAGTGATAGAATGGAAGAATGCATTGGCATTCCACTACCTTTCTGAGTATAGGACAGGGGTAGGCAACCTTTTTGAGCTGCGGGCCGGGTTGCTGTCCCTCAGACAATTGGAGGGCCGAAGCACCAAAAATAAATAAATAAATAAATAAAAATAATTTAAAATTTTTTTAAAAAATATGTATGCACACTCTCTCAGCCCCAGAAAAGCCATGGCAAAACCCCTGTGGAGATTTTGCCAAGAAAACCCCAAGAACAAGTAATAACAACAATAATATCATCATGGCGAGGGGCGGCAGTGGTGGCGGCAGGACCAGCCTGGGGCCGGTCCAAAGGCCTCAGGG